AGCTACGTGGTGCAAAACAACATCGTCGTAAGCTATGTGGTGTGCCCAATGTATCTGGCGCAAAGTATGTGGTGGAAACTTTGTCGGGCAAGTTATGTGGTGCAAACCAACATCATCGCAATGCATGCGGTTTAAGTGATGTGATGCAAAGTCTGCGGTGGAAGCTATGTTGTGTAAGCTATGTGGTGCACATCCACATCTTCGCAAGCTATACGGTGACATCTATGTGGTGCAAAGGTTTATGGCGGAATCCGTGTGGTGCAAACGCCGTGGTGCAAACCCACGTCTTCTCGCTGCGTTGGCCTGGTGTCTGGTGTCAGGAGAACTCTTTAGAGCCTGTAGTGAGGACAGATGGGACAGGGACATGAGGAGAGGGGGAAGGAGGGGAAGGAGGTAGAGGAAAGGCTGGTTGTTATGAAGATTACGATGACGATGGCGATGGCGATGCTGATGATGATGATGCTGCTGATGATGCTGATGATGATGACGACGCGGATGATGATAATGAGGATGAGGTTGTTGATGATGATGGTGGTGATGATGATGATGATTATGATGAGATGATGATTGTGATGATGTGAAGTATGTTTACGATGTTGATGATGATGATGAAGATGGTGATGCTGCTGATGATGATGCTGATGATGATGATGCTGATGATGATGATGGCGCTGCTGCTGCTGATGATTATGATTTTGATGATGCGGTGATGGTGTTGAAGATGATGCGTATGGAGATCATGATGATATTGCTGCTGATGATGATGCTGGTGATGGTGCTGCCGCTGCTGCTGCTGCTGCTGCTGCTGCTGATGATGATGATGATGATGATGATGATGATGGCGACGCGGATGATGTTGATGATGATGATGCTGTTGCTGACGACGATGTTGTTGTCGAATCTGTGGATGATCTGACGATGGTGATGCTGGTGAGGGTGCTTGTAATAATGAGGATGACGATGATGATGATGATGATGCTGATGATGATGATGATGCTGATGCTGATGCTGAGGCTGATGCTGATCATGATGAGGATGATGATGCCGCTGCTGCTGCTGCTGCTGCTGATGATGATGATGATGATGATGATGATGATGATGATGCTGACGATGAGGACGATTCTGTTTATTTTAGTGATAGTAATAACGATGGTGCTGTTACTGCTGCTGATGATGTGTGATTACAAGGATGAGGGGGCAGAGGAGGAAGGACATTAATAATACCATGGAGAGGAAGGGGTCGGAGGAGGAGGCGAAGGAGGAGGCGGATAAGGATAATGATGTGGTGAACAAGGATGAGGGCCCCGAAGAGGGGCGACACATGATCCGATACGGGTATGGATGCACACCCCAGGCGAACAGTGATGCTGGCCCGACGGGGGCGATACCCATTACACATTATCGAATTTCTCCTACTCCCCCTCCTGCTCCTCTCCAGTCGTTGTTTCTGCGTCCCCACAGGTTTGGGCACTGGCATCCAGCACCTTCCCTTGGCCTTTTGCATGCCAGTGGCCCCGCGAGAACCCTTCTGTCGCCTCAAGTGGGAGGCGTGAACTGCAGCACATTGGATCCTACCTTCCTCTCTCTTCTTCTCCTTTCTCCTGTCATCCTGCTCTCCCCTCCTTCCCCTCCTGGCGTCACATACCCCGCGAGTACGAGCCGTAATGGCAATCTCGGGCAATCTATTTCGCAATCGGTCCTCAGCGACGTATGTGATGGGCTAAGCGTCTTGGCGCCCAGGATTCCGCAATCGTCGCTCGTCATAAGAGTGCATCGGATGCCCTCCCGTCAGGGATCGCGACGCAAACGACCAGCCCGCTGGCTAAGAAATAGTTGTGTGAGGGGGAGGGTGGAGTTCACTTCGTTCGGGAGCTCCCGAGCGAAGTGAACCCCAACCTCCCCCTCAGAAATCGTGGGGGGTAGGCGTAGGGTTCGCATGTGGCCCCCTACCTGTCCCCCTCCATTTTTCTGCATTGTGGGACAATTCGCTTCCACGGTATCCCCGTTTCGATTGCTCTTTCGCCAGCGCAGTTACTCTACCGAAACGCCGACGTGTATAAAACAACTTGCAGTTGGTGGAGTCACCTGACATGCAACTGCATTGCTTGTTTTGTCCCTGCCGATCAGCCTCCTCTCGCTGGTTTGTATTCGCTGAACTATAACCCGAGGCTCAACTATTGCATATTTTGGTTGTTCATCCTATGTATGATTTGATCGTGAGACCAGAGTGTCTCTTGCCGGTGGAGGAGAATATGCTCTTGTGTACCAATGCTTCGCCGCCCACTGGATTCTGGGGTCTTTTGGCAGCTGGGGCAAGCGGCTTCCCCTTGCTGCGGCTGCTCTCCGCGGCGTTGGACCTGAGAAGGTCTGCTTGGGACTTTGGCGAGGTCTCCAGGGGATGGTGTTTGCGGAGGGGCAGATGGCGCGAGTTCCTCGTGTGAAAAGCGCTGGCGGGCCTCGTGCATTCGACGCTGGAGGGGAACTGGTCCAACGCGTGGATTCGTGAGTTTCACCAGAAGAGCCTTCTGTGG